TTCCAGATCTCCAGCCTGAATTCTTCTCCTGAATCCAGACTTAATTTCCATTTATCATCTCCCACTTGAGTATCTAATAGGTGTCTTAAGTTAACATGTTCAAATCAAATTCTTGATTCCTGCCCTACCTCCAAACCCCTGCCCCAAATCTTTTTTTGTCTTTGTGTTATTTTTATTATTATTACTATTATTTCTTTACCTCAGTCTTTACATCTTAGCTCCATTTTACCAGAGGCTCAGGTCCAAAATCTGGGAGGCATTCTTGATTCCTTTCTTTCTCTTCAGAACCACCTCTAATCAATCCATTAGCAAATCTTTCAAAATATATCCACAAAAGCCCAGCATGGTAGCCCGTACCTATAGCCCCAGCTTCTCAGGAGGTGGAAGGATTGCTTGAGCCCAGGAGTTTAAGGCCAGCCTTGGCAACATAGCAAGACCCCATCTCTAATCAAAAAAAAAAAAAAATCCATTATCACTACTGCCAGTGCCTATGCCCTCACCCAGGCCACCATCATCTCTCATTTGAAGTAGGACAGAACCTCCATTTAACCCTATACAGCTTATTCTTTTTGGGGGCAGGGAGACAGGGTTTCACTCTGTCACCCAGGCTGGAATGCAGTGGCACGATCTCGGTTCACTGCAACCTCCACCTCCTGGGCTCAAGCTATCCTCCCATCTCAGCCTCCCGAGTAGCTGAGATACAGGCATGTACTAATATTTTGTGTTTTTGGTACAGATGGGGTTTTGCCGTATTGCCCATGCTGGTATGGAACACCTGAACTCAGAGGATCCACTGGCCTCAGCCTCCCAAAGTGCTGGGATTACAGCCGTGAGCCACTGTGCCCAGCTATAGTTTATTCTTAACACAACAACGAGAGTGATTCTGTTAAAATATAAACGACACAATCTCACTGCTCTGCTCAAAATCCTCCAATGGTTTCCCACCTTACCCAGTATAAGAAATTATAAAAGCCACTGCTCTGATGCCGTCTCACATAGGGCTTTCTTACTTTCTCCATTCCAGTGACACCAGCCTTCTTTCTGATACTTGAACACAACAAGCACACTTCGACCTTAGGCACTTTCCATCTCCTGTTCTTTCTGACTGAATCATTATTTCTTCACAAACATACATAACTTTACATCCTGTAAGCCTCTGCTCAAATATCATATTGGAATGACTTTCCCTAACTTCCTTCATCCTAGCATCAATCCTATTTCAGTCACTCTCAATTCCCTTACCATGAACTAAAAGGAACACTAGTTTCTATAGATGTTAGACACCAGTTGAGCCAGAACCAATTTTCAGCAAATACGATAAAATAATTTGCTAATTAGCTATAACAGATACAACCAACTCCACACTTCTGTATAATCCCCTACCATAATATTCATCACATTTTATGCCATTATTTATGAAATTAGTGTCTTACCCACAAAAGTGCAAGAGAGCCGGGCGCAGTGGCTCAAGCCTGTAATCCCAGCACTTTGGGAGGCCGAGGCGGGTGGATCACGAGGTCAAGAGATCGAGACCATCCTGGTCAACATGGTGAAACCCCGTCTCTACTAAAAATACAAAAAATTAGCTGGGCATGGTGGCGCGTGCCTGTAATCCCAGCTACTAAGGAGGCTGAGGCAGGAGAATTGCCTGAACCCAGGAGGCGGAGGTTGCGGTGAGCCGAGATCGCGCCACTGCACTCCAGCCTGGGTAACAAGAGCGAAACTCCGTCTCCAAAAAAAAAAAAAGAGTGCAGGAGAAAGAACCAGTTTCTTATATTGCTCTTTACTAGCATTTGATGAGTAGAGCTAACACTTCTTGGGCCGGGCGCAGTGGCTCACGTCTGTAATCCCAGCACTTTGGAAGGCCGAGGCGGGTGGATCACGAGGTCAAGAGATCGAGACTATCCTGGCCAACATGGTGAAACCTTGTCTCTACTAAAAATACAAAAATTAGCTGGGCATGGCGGTGTGCGCCTGTATTCCCAGCTACTCGGGATCCTAAGGCAGAAGAACTGCTTGAACCCGGGAGGCAGAGGTTGCAGTGAGCAGAAATTGCGCCACTGTACTCCGGCCTGGTGCCTGGCGATGAAGCAAGACTGTCTCAAAAAAAAAAAAAAAAAAAAAAACACTTCTTGGGCACTTAATTCTTTTTATTATTATTTTATTGTATTTTCTGAGACGGAGTCTTGCTCTGCTGCCCAGGCTGGAGTGCAGTGGGGCACGATTTCAGCTCACTGCAATCTCAGACTCCTGGATTCAAGTGATTCTCCTGCCTCAACTTCCAGAATAGGTAGGACTGCAGGTATGTGCCACCATACTCGGATAATTTTTTATATTTTTAGTAGAGATACGGTTTCACCATGTTGGGCAGGCTGGAGTTGAACTCTTGACCTTAAGTCATCCACCTGCCTTGGCTTCCCAAAGTGTTGAGATTACAGGCGTGAGCCACCACACCTGACACCTTCTTGGACACTTAATATGTATCAGGCACTATCCTATGTAATAAGTACTTTAAATATATTAACTCATGTAATCCTCACAATGAAAAATTAAGAGAGAGACCATCATCTTCATTATAAAGAAAACAGAAATAGAAGGGGTAAGTTACTTGCCCAAGGCTACAGAGGCAGTAAAGTCAGGATTCAAACTAGCTCCAGACCCTGTATCTGTAACCATTATGCCAGACTGCCTCTTAGTTGGCTAATGGGGATGGAGTGCCAGGGACGAGGGCTTGCTTAATGTGATTGGATTAAAGCTCCCTGAGGAGGTAACATTTGAGCTGAAAGGTGAATGACTTCAATCCTGCCAGGTGACTACCTGGGTAAAAAGTGTTTCTGGCCTAAGAAATACAAGCTAGAAATGGACTAAGGACAGAACTAAGCATCAGAATAGGGAGAGAGAGAGTGAGGGAGAGTGCCAGAAAAGACAGGTATTAAATAAGCAGAAGAGTGATAGGTAATGAAGATAAAGAGAGATGCGGGAGAAGTCAGCATTTGGGGGTCTTCCTAAGGAGCTGGTTTTATTTCAATAGTAGTGGTAAAGAGGGTTAAACAAGGGAGTGCTATAGCTGAAAGACTGTGAGTCCTAACCCAGCAGTTGCTATTGAGGACACTCAGAATTAGTCCTCGTCATCTTCAGGTCTCTTGAGGAAAAAACAAAATTTGTTACTGTGGTCAGCGAGATGATAAATGGAATAAGACAGGACCACATGACCATAACTAAACTTGCAGCTGGCTGACAGCAGTGTTGGGACATAGACACAAGAACATTTTTTATAAAAGAGTGTAAGTTAGCAATGGCTACAATGTTACAGTAGCAACCCGGAACAAACACTGCTAAGATCACATTAGTCTTGAAGGCCACTTTGCGGGATAAACAGAAGAGAAGAAAATCCACAAGAACAATGAAACCAATCACTTAAGCATCGGCTAAACCCTTTCATAAAGCAACTGTGGCTGTGGATACCACTGCTCAAGTCTTCCTTCGGACATGCTTCACAAATGCTATGTTTTAAAAATGGTACTCAGAAAACTATCAAAGGGGAACCCAGTAGGCCTATTCTGGCATATTTTAATATATACGAGCATGGCACAAGTCTTTACTAAGAAATGTGTCTGAGCTCTACTGCCAATTGGTACAAGGACTGTGGGAAAGCAACTGAACTTCTAAGGGCCCTAACTTCTTTATTTGTAAAATGTGAGCCTAGAGTAAGATGCATTTCAATTCTTACATATACAAGTACACACACCACCCTATGACTCTGCACATACTACAAACCCAAAGGCACGACTCTGTTAAATGAACATAAGCAAGGAATGTGTTGTAGTATTTTAATATGCGGGTTGATAAGTGTAATGAAATGAAATCAATATATAGCTAAAGAAGACAGAAACTGACTAAACTTTGGGGCTATATGTCAAACATTTATATTCACAGATTACCAAATAACTGTATATTACATTTTGAAGATATACATATATAGAAAGAGAGTATTAGTAAGCATTCAAAAACAAAACATTGGTAATTACATCAGAAAGCTTCAATTCTAATTGGCTCTTCAATTATTCTCTACAATATTCAATATTCAATACTTGCCAATTATTTGGGTTTCAAATTTACTACAAAATTATGAAACTAGCTGACCTTCAATTCTTAAATTCTACCTATTACTCACCATGATTTGTTTTATCAAGAAAATTTAGATATATCAATAGGTAGCGTATGAAGCTTAGGTGGGGCATCAGTCAATGGTATATTCATATTACACAAGAAGACTTATTACACACTTTCCCTTTAGAATTTTTAAATCAGTAATAAATGTAAGAAGTTGTCAACAGAAATATATTAGTTGTACTCAATAGTGACATTACTTTCTAATGAACAAGTACTACCTGGACTTTTCACAGTATCCTATGCTTTGTTCATTTTCATGCTTACGTATAAGAAAAAAATCAAAATGTTGTACACCCTTTTTAATCATTATTCAAGTTAGAAAAAGGAGGCTGTCACAAAGATACCTCTAACTGATACTATTTCTTGTATGAAACACAATGATAAAGATGTTTTCACTATTTAAACAAATATATCAGCTAGTGCGGTGGCTCACGCCTGTAATCCCAGCACTTTTGGGAGGCTGAGGTGGGTGGATCAAGAGGTCAAGAGATCAAAACCATCCTGGCCAACATGGTGAAAACTCTGTCTCTACTAAAAATACAAAAATCAGCTGGGCATGGTGGCATGCACCTGTAGTCCCAGCTACTCGGGAGGCTGAGGCAGCAGAATCACTCGAACCTGGGAGGTGGAGACTGCAGTGAGCTGAGATCTTACCAATGCACTCCAGCCTGGCAACAGAGCTAGACTCCACCTCAAAAAACAACAACAACAAAAAAACACAAATATATCAACCAAAACCAATAAGCTAAAAAAACGTAGATACAAAACTTCAAAAGTTTCAGAGGTCATATTTGACAACTTTATTAAGAGTAATTATTCCTCCTTACCTGATGAAGAACTTCCAGAGTAACAGGGTAAAAGAGGTTTTCAATAATTATTCGAAGCACAGGGCTCTGCCCAGGTAGGACTGTGCCTTCATTGGAAGGACCTCCAGAAAGGGCCAGGCTTCCTGACTGGACGGCACTGACAGCCTGCAGTGCAGCTTGGGCTCGCTATAGAACAACCCAGAATGAGAACTTTGGATTATACAGACGCATTATATGAATCCTAAAATTTCGTTGACATAAAACAATATGAAGCAATATAGTTAAGTAAAACAAGATTTATCTACTTTGTCTAGAGGTACATATCCTAGATTTGTAATCAGTCAACAAAGACCTGCCCAATTACCATAATGACACAGTATTTCTAAAAGGTGTTTAAATTTACTTGAAGAAAAAAAAGGCATGGAGAAAAAGAGAACATTTGGATATAATTTTTATTTTCTAATTTTCAAAAGACAATGGGGGAAGAAATATGAAAGCAACATTAAAGACTATGGCATGAGATGTTTACACCCAAGCAACAGTAGGCAAGACAGGCTTCTGAACATTCTTCACCAAAAGGAAACCAGGGCACTCTAAAAGAAGAGCTGGTTCCAGAACTGGGACCCAGAAATCACAAGATGAGTATAAAACAGTTTTGTTTTGGGGCAGGGGGAGGGAGCATTGGTCAGAATGCAAAGAAATGTTCAAAGAATGATATGGATATTCCAAAGGACATAGAAACCAGCTTGAAGGGGCCTGCAAGGGCCAAATGTAGGACAATTTGTGTATCAAAATACTAGCAACTGTTAAAAAAAAAAAAACATCAAATAACATAGGAAATCTTTAGTCCGTACTCTCATAAATTAACAGCTGATGAGGAACAGTATATTTACCTAGTCTTAAAGTACCTTCCCACAACATACTACTCTTTCCCCTTTGTAAGTAGTAACTTTATAGTAGAGAAGGCTGGCAAACACCACCCTAATCAAGTGATCAAAGAGCCCATCATTACTAACACAGCAAATGGAAATTTTATGCTGCAATGAAAAGAGCATTATTTCTGTGATGCTCTGTCAAAGACAGATACTCTCAATTGAATCACAAGGAAATGTCAAATTCAAATTGAGGGATATTCTTGAAAATAAATTGCTTATAATTTTCAACGGTGTCAAGGTTATGAAAGGCCTTAAAAGGTAAATTAAAAAGGTATTACAATTAAATGGAAATGTGATCCTAACTGAATCCTTTTGCTATAAACAAACATTATTCGGTCAACTGGCAAAACTTATACATGGGGTATGAGGAATGGAGGGAACTTATGTATCAATCTTAACTTCCTAATGTTGACTGTTGTATTCTGGTTAACAAAAGAATGTCCTTGTTTGTAGGAAATGCACACTAAAAATACTGGACAGGAAAGAAGGACCAGAGTGACAACTTATTCTCAAAAGGTTCGAGAAATCAAAACTTCTTTGTACTACAACAGAAACTTTTTTCTAACTTTGTGATTCTCTCAAAATGTAAACCAACTATTATTATTATCTTTGGGGCCACAGAGCAAGACTGTCTCAAAAATAAAATAAAACAAGTGTGTCTGATGCTAAAAATTATGAAAAAGCAGAACTCCTGTCATGGAAAATAATTTTAAAATGTTTGGGTAACAAACTCTCTAGAATAGTTAAATTACTAAAGGAAATAATAGCAGTAGTATGATCAAGAAAATAGATTTAATTAATGTGGGATAAGGAGTAATGTATATGTCATATAAAATTTTTAAATGTCTGGAAAATGTAAAAAAGACATTTCTCAGATTGAGAAGATGAAAATTAACATACAATAAAAAATGCACAGATCTTGCAAAGAGTTAAGTTTGATGGCTTTTTAGAGAAAATCCTCTACAGTCATCTCATGCCAGATTTATAAACTTTCATCCACAAGGTCAAGAAAAACCAATACAATAATGACTGCCATTAACACAACCATTTCTCAAATGCTGTATCTCATATTATTATCTAAATTTTACAGTTGTAATTTTGGTTTAAATCAAGGAAACAAAAACACTAAATGTTCACCTGATCTTCTGGCAATAAGTCCATAAACTGGAAAAGTAATGTGTATATTGGGATAGACTGCTACTCAGAGAACAAAAAGGAATGAAACACTCATCTATCAGCTTTCTGGGAATGTCAGAATAAAAAGACATTATAGTACTTTAAAAATATCAAACAGGTAATGTAACTTTGACGTCATGTTTGATGTAGGAGTTCGAATTTTAAAAATTAATGTAGTTTCCCAATTATGCTCTAAAATAAAAAAATAAAATAAAAAACAATGATTGTATTTTAGCAAACATCAATGCATAAAAATTGTACAAAAGCAACAAGATGGAAAAATTATTGGGAAGAAATGAAATCTATCTAAGAATAAACTAGGTCATTTAGGCTGGCTTTGGTTACCAAGCAACTGGGATTTCTCACTGTTTCTCTTTGGAATAATCCAATCTTTAAGAGTTATTAAATTGTTTTTTCTTCTTCAAGATTTATACTAACATATTTGGGAATCACACTAATGAGAAAACTACAGGAGTTACATGAGGAAAATTTAAAACTCTACTGAAAGACATAAAAGAAAACAAACAAAATAAAATTTCCTCCTTAAAAGAATCAGAGTAATATAATTAATTATCTCAAATTAATCTATAACATCAACCCAATTCCAACTGTGTTTTTTTAGGGGACAAGAGTTACTAAAATAATTTCAAAATGTATCTGAATAGGCAAAATATTTAATCAGTTAATTTCTGAAAAGAGAGTAAGAAATAAGGTCTCGCCCTACCATATATTAAGCCTTAGGAACTCCTAGCACTTTGAGAGGCAGAAGCAGGTGGATCACCTGATGTCAAGTTCCAGACTCCTGACATTGTATTTTTAGGCTCTACTAAAAATATAAAAATTAGCCAGAAAACTAAAAAAAAAAAAAAAAAAAAAAAAAATTAGCCCGGCGTGGTTGTGAGCACCTATAATCCCAGCCAAGATGGTGCCACTTCACTCCAGCCTTGGCAAAGAGCAAAATTCCATGTCCCCCCACCCCACCCCGTAAAAAAATAATAATAATAATAAAATAAATAAATAAATAAGCCTTAGGGCACAGATGCAGAAATGGAATCCAAGCTTTTGGAATTCAAAAGGTAGTCAAGGTTAAACATGGAATGCATAGCATGTGAGCTCACACACACGAGAGTAGAATGTATAAGCAGAATATATAGGAAGATTAGACAGGAGTGAGAGTGAATGTGACTCTGTGTGTGTGTGTGTGTGTGTGTGTGTGTGTGTACATATGATCAGCAGGCATAGTGTATGTATAGAAAACTAATATATGATAAACGACAAGTTTCACATTAGTGGGTAATAAATGAGTTATTCAAAAATAATGCAGGAGAAACTAGTCTCTTAGAGTAAGAAAAGACTGAAGCCCTACCCTCATTCCTCACATCCAAAAAATTCCTAATAGACATAAGAACCATAACATGAAAGAAAACATAAGTAGATTATTTTTTAAATTATTAATTATTAGAAGAAAACATACGTAGATTCTTTTTTTAATCTTGGTGTACTAGGTCTTTCTTAGCATGGTACCAAACTCAGACTGTATTATGACATCCTAAGAGATTTGACTATATATATAAAAATATTTAAAACTTCATAGAGACTGAAGGTAGAATGGTAGTTGCCAGAGGTGAGAAGGAGAAAGGAATAGGTAGTTACTGTATGATGGATGGAGTGTTTCAGTTTGAGGTGATGAGAAACGGCATCTGGAGATGGAGTGTGCTGGTGACTATACAACAACGTGAATGCACTTAATGCTATTAAACTACATTTTAAAGTGACTGAAATAGTAGATTTTATGTCACGTATATTCTACTATGATAAAAAAAAAGGGGGGGGAATGGCACTAACAGATATCTGTTTAAGTATTTTACAAATTGTCAAGTAAAAGTAAAAAATAAGATATAATTACTCATCTACCTATTAAAGACTAGAAAGCCACTTGCTCATCCATTATATTGCTGGGACTCTAAGCATATAATCTCTACAGAAAGCAATCGTGCAACATGTATCAAAATTTAAAAGAGGCACATGCTTTGTCCTGGCAATTTCACACACATACACTGGAATATACATTGTATTATATGGCAATATTACATTTTATTGGATTAGAATATACACTGGAAACAACTTCAGTGTGTATCAAAAAGAAACTGGGCAAATTACAATTCTCCTATACAAGGAAGCATTATAGCCATTAAAAGCTGATGAGACAATGCCTGTATTTGTTGTAATAAACCCATGTCCATAATATTACACAGAAAAAAAGATTTCAAAACATTTTGTATAAAATTAGATATACAGACACTAGTTATTAGTTATCTCTGGGTAACTGGATTGGTTTTGGTTCTTTCCTCTTTTTTTGATTGAACGGTGTACCATAAGCATGTATCTGATATACAATTTGTAATGACAACTTTTTTTTTTTAAGTCTATTCTTTTTTAAAACATCTAATATTGTATTTATTATAAGTTTATATAGTTTATTATATGCCATTAATATTGCCTAAATAAGTTAAGGATTGTATGCAGTAAATGTTGCTGTTTCAAACAATGCAGAAAACTAATTTAATCTCAACAGCTTACATTATACTGCCTTTCAACACAGTATCAGAGAGCTGGAGAAGTTCTTTGTCTAGAGCAAGAATACAGAGGCCAAACATGCCCTTAAAATCATAATTTTAAAAAAACTTACTTAAAATGTATTTTCTTTGTGGATAAAGATTTTCTCTCCTTAAATAACTCCAAATTACACTATTTTTAACCACTTAAAAATCAACATGGAAAGACACAAAAGACTCAATGTTAGCTATACCAAAGTAACAGAAAAATGGGTAAGAAATGTTGCTATGCTACATTTCACATTCATCGTGGAGTCAAAAATCATTTAATGAACAATTCTAAACAAATTCTTATTAATGTCTTAAGTTTCATTACTTAATATCCCTCAATTTCTCAATGCCTTTGTTACAGTCTATAAAAAGATGACTGAAATGATTTCCAAAAGTTCCTTCAGATCTGAGATTTTAAGGCGTATATAACAATAAATACTTTTTCTCCTTTTTTATTGTGAAAACAATTTCAAGAGAAAAAAATTAACTTCTAATATGTTTCTAAATGGCACTGTTTTCTTATTCTTAAGAATTTGGGGAAGAATTTACATATACAGTTATCACTAGTAAAGTATCCTAAAATGAAGAAAACTACATTCAGTTTTCTTCATCTGTAAAGTATCTAAGTTATACCATGTGTTCCTATACCTATTTTTAAAAACACCTTTAATACTTACAGCTTGATTAGGTAGATTGTCAGTCTTAAGTTCTCTGTGATTGGAATACTGAATATAAACAGGCTGGCTTCGAAGGTGAGGAGTAATAGGAGTGTAATAATTCACCATAGTAACAGCAGCTTCCTCAGAAGCCATTTCTAAGAAAGCCTGCAATAAACACAAGAAGGTAAAGTGAAAGCTCACCGTTTTGAAAGACAAGAGATATGTTGCCATTCCCATTCTAGCTTGCTCTAAACCCATGCATTCTCAAGTAAAATGGTATTACCTCCAATGGGGGAAAAAACCTTTCCTTCAAAATATCATGGATGTTAATTAGAAACATCTAAAAAGTTGGGTTCACTGAAGAACTTGAGAAGCCAGGCATGGTGGTTCACAACTGTAACTGCAACCACTTTGAGAAGAGAAGATGGGAGGATTGCTTGAGCCCAGGAGTTCAACACCAGCCTGGGCAACACAGGGAAAACCCATCTCTACGAAAAAATTTTAAAACTTAGCTGGGCATGGTGGCACATCCCTGTGGTCCCCAGCTACTTAGAGCTGGGGGTGGGGTGGTGAGGGGCCGAGTAGGAGGACTGCTTGAGCCTGGGAGATTGAGGCTACAGTGATCCATGTTTGCACCACTGCACCCCAGCGTGGGTAACAGAGTGAGACACTGCTGTCTCAAAGAATTTGTAAACTGCCAGTTGATTAAGTGATTTTATGTAAGTGAGTTTTTGGTTTTCCTTTTATTTCTGTTTCTTTTAAAATCTAGAAATAATTTAAAAGATCAAAATAAATGTGTACGTCACCATTGTAAATGGATGCTTTCAGCGGTTGTGATTTAAGTTTATCATTAAAAATACTGAGGCTACGGCCGGACATGATGGTTCACGCCTATAATCCCAGCACTTTGGGAAGCCAAGGTGGGTGGATGGATGAGGTCAGGAGTTTAAGACCAGCCTGGCCAACATGGTGAAACCTCATCTCTACTAAAAATACAAAAATTAGCCAGGCCTGATAGAGGGTCTTTGTAATCCCAGCTACTCGCGCGGCTGAGGAAGGAGAATCACTTGACCCCAGGAGGCGGAGGCTGCAGTGAGCCAAGATCTCACCACTGCACACCAGCCTGGGTGACTGAGCAAAACTCCGTTTAAGAAAAAAAACGCTAGGCCGGGCGCGGTGGCTCAAGCCTGTAATCTCAGCACTTTGGGAGGCCAAGGCGGGTGGATCACAAGGTCAAGAGATCGAGACCATCCTGGTCAACATGGTGAAACCCTGTCTCTACTAAAAACACAAAAAATTAGCTGGGCATGGTGGTGCGTGCCTGTAAATCCCAGCTACTCAGGAGGCTGAGGCAGGAGAATTGCCTGAACCCAAGAGGCGGAGGTTGTGGTGAGCCGAGATCGCGCCATTGCACTCCAGCCTGGGTAACAAGAGCGAAACTCAGTCCCCAAAAAACAAAAATAAAAAAAGAAAAAAAACGGTTACAACACATAAACAGATACTAAACTTAATGGGGGCAATTAGAGAGTAAAAGTGCTAAAAAGAGTCTTTAAGGGAACAAAAAGAAAAAAACAGAGAAAAAAAACATTGAGAAACACTGCTCTAAAATACCCAGATTCTTAGAAGGGATGGGGCAAAACAGTTTATTCTCCTTTTACTCTTTTTTAAAACAGCCATTTATAAGTAAAATAGTGCATTCACTTCTTTCAGTAACAGTTTTATTATCTCATACTTTACCAACATATGTGATAGCAAGAAATGAGAACTAGCATGACATGGTAGAAAAGGAACTTGATTAATATCTATGCTTAGCTATGACAACTTAATCATTAACACCTCTGAGCCTTAGTTTCCTCATCTAAAACATGAAGCAGTGCCTAACAGAATCTTTAAGTCTCTTTGTAGCTCTAACATGAGATGAGTTTTAAGTGAGATGATTTTTAATTCTTAGTTGGACTGTATGAGATCTTTCAGAATAAAACTACTCAACTCAGCTTCTGTAAAGCATCCCTGTAAAATGGTGATCAATACTCTGGTTTCTCTTCAAATGGTATAAATCTTTCACCTTTTACTCATATGATAGTGCACACTTTAGATTTGTCTTTGGGGCCGGGCGTGGTGGCTCAAGCCTGTAATCCCAGCACTTTGGGAGGCTGAGGTGGGTGGATCACGAGGTCGAGAGATCGAGACCATCCTGGTCAACATGGTGAAACCCAGTCTCTACTAAAAACACAAAAAACTAGCTGGGCGTGGTGGTGCGTGCCTGTAATCCCAGCTACTCAGGAGGCTGAGGCAGGAGAATTGCCTGAGCCCAGGAGGCGGAGGTTGCGGTGAGCCGAGATCGCGCCATTGCACTCCAACCTGGGTAACAAGAGCGAAACTCTGTCTCAAAAAAAAAAAAAATTTGTCTTTTTAAGTATTTCTAGGAAGAAACAAGAAAAAAAAAAAAAAAAAACACATAAAACCAGTTAATTAAGTGGTAATTTTCCAATTCCAAATCTTTTTTTTTTTTCTTTTTTTGAGATGGAGTCTCACTCTGTCGCCCAGGCTGGAGTGCAGTGGCACGATCTCGGCTCACTGCAACATCCTCCTCCAGGGTTCGAACCATTCTCCTGCTTCAGCCTGAGTAACTGAGATTACAGGCGTGCACCATCACACCTGGCTAATTTTTGCATTTTTAGTAAAGACAGGTTTTCACCATGTTAGCCAGGCTGGTCTCAAACTCCTGACCTCAAGTGATCTGCCCACCTCAGTCTCCCAAAGTGCTAGGATTACAGGCATGAGATATTGCGACCAGTCTTAGGTTCCTTTTTAAGTATGAAGGCATTCATTAACACAGACGTGCACATATACGTCATATTTAATTCTGAGGTACAGGCTGAGTATTTCTTTTTTTTTTTTTTTTTTTTGAGATGGAGTTTCGCTCTTGTTACCCAGGTTGGAGTGCAATGGCGCGATCTCGGCTCACTGCAACCTCCGCCTCCTGGGTTCAGACAATTCTCCTGCCTCAGCCTCCTGAGTAGCTGGGATTACAGGCACGTGCCACCATGCCCAACTAATTTTTTGTATTTTTAGTAGAGACGGGGTTTCACCATGTTGACCAGGATGGTCTTGAGCTCTTGACCTCGTGATCCACCTGCCTCAGACTCCCAAAGTGCTGGGATTACAGGCTTGAGCCACCGCGCCCAGCCTCAGGCTGAGTATTTCTTATCCAAAATGCTTAGGAAGTGTTTTGGATTTCAGATTTTGTAATATTAAATATTTGCCTTAGATACTTACCAGCTGAGCAACCCTAATTTAAAAATTCAGAATTCAAAATGTTCCAGTGAGCATTTCCTTTGATTGTTATGGCACTCAAAAAGTTTCAGATTTTGGAGCACCTTATTTTCAGATTAGAGATACTCAACCTGTATCAGAAAATAAGGCCAGGTGTAGTGGCTCAAGCCTGTGATCCGAATACTTTGGGAGGCTGCAGCAGGCAGATCACTTGAGGTCAGGAGTTCAAGACCAGCCTGGCCAACATGGTGTAACTCCGTATCTACTAAAATCACACACAGAAAATTAGCCAGGTGTGGTGGCAGGTGTCTGTAATCCTAGCTTCTCAAGAAGCTGAGGCAGGAGAATCACTTGAACCTGGGAGGCGGAGGTTGCAGTGAGTCCGAGATCACGCCAGTGAACTCCAGTGTACTCCAACCTGGGCAACAAAGTGAGACTCCATCTCAAAAGAAAAGAAAATAGCTTATAATCTTCCAAAAACATAATATTTTAAAAAATATATATAAAGGATCAATTATTCAAATTATGGAAATCTGAGAACTTCCTACACTGAGTCAATATTAAGTCATTCAAGTGATTTGATATGTGTAGTCACTGTACTAATAGTAGACATCTGAAGAATGACTTGGGAAAAGCTGAGGTGGCAAAAGCCACTTGATATTTATATCTTACTGTACACATAGTTTCCTCTTACAGGAATAAGATACTTACAAAGCTTTAGGTGGTAGATTTTTGTCCCCCTATCTTACTCTATTTCTTTTTTTCTTTTTTTGAGACAGTCTCAGTACAATGGAGTGCAGTGGCGAGATCTCAGCTCACTGCAACCTCCATTTCCTGGGCTCAAGCAATCCTCCCATCTCAGCCTCCCAAGTAGCTGGACTACAGGTGGGTGCCACCACACTTGGCTAATTTTTTACAATTCTTATAAAGATGAGGTCTCACTATACTGCCCAGGCTGGTCTTGAACTCCTCAGCTCAAGTAATCCTCCTGCCTCAGCCTCCCAAAGTGGTGGGATTACAGGCTCAGTGAACCACTGTGCCCAGCCTCTGTCCCCCTATGTTAATGGTTAGTTAGAAAGATAAACTATAGACATTAACCATTCTGAGTCCTCAAAACCACCTGTAAGAACATCTCAAACTTAAAATGCAGAAACCATTCCTGATCCAAATTAACACAAATTTCTAGACAATCCAATTCCTTATTTACTACCAAAGAAGGCATTTATTTATTTATTCATCCATCCTTTTTTTTTTTTTTTAAGACAGAGTTTTGCTCTTGTTACCCAGGTTGGAGTGCAATGGTGTGATCTCGGCTCACTGCGACCTCCACCTCCTGGGTTCAGGCAATTCTCCTGCCTCAGCCTCCCGAGTAGCTGGGATTAGAGGCATGCGCCACCATGCCCAGCTAATTTTTTGTATTTTTAGTAGAGACGGGGTTTCACCATGTTGACCAGGATGGTCTTGATCTGTCGACCTCGTGATCCACCCGCCTCAGCCTCCCAAAGTGCTGGGATTACAGGCTTGAGCCACCGTGCCGGACCCATCCATCCATTTTTTTAAGAGAAAGGGGTCTTGATATGTTGCCTGGGCTGGAATGCAGTGGCTATTCACAGGCATGATCTCACTACTGATCAGCACAGGAGTTCTGACCTGCTCAGGTTTTGATCCGGGCTAGTTCACCCCTCCTTAGGCACCCTGGACTGTACTGATACCAGATCGGCTTAGTACACTACAGCTCAGAACATTCAGACTCAAGCAATCTTTGAGGCAAGTGCCACCATACCCAGCCACAAGAGTATTTAATTAGCAAACATTTATCAACCACTTCAAGTTATGTATAAAACGCTTACAATTTATAAAATACGCATTTGTTAACAATAAACTTTAATGAACACATGAAATGGCAAATATCTCTAAATTAAACTATTTCTTTGTTTATAGTTACCTTGTCAAATGTTTCCACATACAGTCTAGAAAAGCAATATTAACTGGACAGATGTTGAACATAATGTATAACTGTACCAACCAAATGTAACAACTGAACCAATGAAATGCTCCACATGAACCACCAATGTTCTACAAAACAGTGATGTTAGCCATTTGACAGTGGATGAAACATCACAAATCAACCCACAATAAACAAATAAAACTCCCCAAATAAATAAAAATTCCACCATTTTAAAAGAGCAAAATTGACTTCAAGTCATTTATACTATTTAAAAGGTAAAAATATCCATGATGCACTTTGAAGCCATTATCCACTTGTGTCAATAATGTATTTTTCTAATTTTTCTAAGACAATAGGATAAAAATTATCAAGGCAGGAAAAATAGCTATGGCAACTAGCTAGTTTCTAACTAACTATATTTAAATCATCTCCCAACAAACAATTTGTAAACAATAATATTCACTGTATGGGCATATTTCTGCAATCTCCTTTCTAAATGTGAAGAACAAACTCAATTTCTAACATCAGTCACATAAAAGAAAAGCTAAACAATGTATTTAGAATATATGATCCTTGTCACAGTATATTCTTTCTTAAAGTACATAGAACCTAAAATTTCACATGTAAAAATAATGTTTTCCACATGGAGTCCAGTAACTACTTACGTTTTATTTAACTATCTAGTCAAAAAATCCAATTTTCATAGTACGGAGTGGAGAGACAGCCAAAAGTCATTTGGCCCCCAACACTCCACCCTGCAGATGCCCTGGGAAAGGTTATCACTCATGAGTGGTTCTAGTGACTCAAATCAGAATCTCTTACTGAAGTGTATTACTAAAAAGATATTTTCTAAACAGGATTTATGATCAAAACACAAGCAATTATCATAACACGGTTATCTTACCGAAAAAATAAACCCAGAACCAGTAGCAGAGACAAAGAAAATTATGATGTTGCCTGCTCAGCCTTTCACAGGCAATTAACCATTAGACATGGCCATGTTGTCTCTTTTCAAATCATGCAAACCATACTATCCGCAATAGCAGCAACTGCTAAAGATCTAACTGGCAGGGATGCACTGTCTCCAAAGGATTTAAGACAAATGTGGAACTACAACAAGGGCCAAATATCAAGGAATGTTACTTCTCCAAATCTTAGTAACCTCATCTGAATTAAAGAGGATATTAATTAAGTAATTTACTAAAGATAAGGAACTCAGTTAGACATCATCATCCAACCTCTTTCATGCCCAATGCTTACCAATCTATTTATTTATAAATGTATTTACAATGTTTCTTAAACTTATTATTTACCAAAAGCAGAAGAAACACAGTAATATACATCACAATATACTATAAAATACCTAGGGCCTAGATTTGTTGTCCTCTTCTTTACAGTAATGAACAGTATAAAAGATTTTTAGGATAACCAAAAACTTGGAAAGAACTAAAGAATTCATCCCAGTGGGGTCTGAGTTGGAACAAGAGAACATACAATTATTAAAATCAACATAACAAGTATTACATTTTTTGGTCATGGTCACCACAGAAACAAGTTTCCTTATTCATCTTAAGAACCTGTTCACTTCGCAAATGAAGACTCTTTACAGTCTCTTTAGAATTATGAAAGAAGCCACAAATTAATTCTATACCTAAAATACTCTGTTAAACTTTCTGAGAGGACATTATTTTGGACTAGCCTCCTGTACTATGCCCCAGCAGACCAGTCCAAATCAAAATGGAGGCACCCAGGCAAAGCATAGCAGGTAAATCCCCAAACAAACCAGTTTTTCCTGAAAACAGGAGATTTACAGCAACCAATCAGAAACAGCGTGGCCTACCTGAATCAGCACAATAAATTCCCTCTGCTCTAACCGTTACAGGAAAAGTAATGCAATAACCTGATGTTAACAAATTCACTTTTTAAACAATTGTCACTTCCTTATTACCACCTTATAAAAAAAACCAACTGTTCTGTCTCACCCAGTGGAACATTCATTCTATTTTACAGATTGAGGTGTTGCTTAGTTCTAGAATCACAAATAAAAGCCAATCAAATCATGTTTACATGTGTTGTGGTTTTGTCTTTTGACAATACATTTTTATCGAGATTTCTGAAAACTTAACTGTCCTTTAATTTGCCAAATGAGGTATAATTTATATCTATCAGTGTTTTCTGCTAATCATAGGACATTTGATAAACCACTGTGTAATACAAAGAAAATTAAAAACAAATTAACTAAAAAATAAAATATAAAATGTAAAATTTGTTTCTTGTTAAGAAGAAAAAACATAAGTTATTGTTTGTTGCTTCCTGTTACAATTCCCCCAAGAAAATCTACTTTTAAAACTAATTTATGTTCATAGTATGAAATTTTAAAAATACAAAAAAGCTTAATAAAGTAAAAATTATCAGTAACACTAACACCTAGAGATAATCACTCTGCATCAATCTTTAAATATTACATACCTGCCTTTTTTCTTTCAACATCAAAAGATTAGTTACTCTGCCAAATGGTAGACCTAATGATATGATCTCTGCTTCGGTGACATCGCATGGAATTTTTCGAAGATGGAGAACACGGGAAGGCGAACAGGGAGGTCTATCTCGTTTAAATTTCTTGCTGTCATTCCCATTAGCTAAAAAACATAAGATTCTTTTTTAAATTACTGAAACTAATTTGGGTTGACATACTACATTAACCATATTGTCACATTTAATCCTAAATGAGTTTTGGGTTTTGAACTTATAGGGAACCATGGGGCTGATGGGGTAGGTGGACAAAGAGTAAAAAACAAAACCAACTCCCTTTTAATGAATGGGTGCTTTTGGATTTTCACTGTAGGTATTACATTTTTTAAAACTGAAGTCTGATTTTTAACTGCAAGGAAAAGTATAAGGGTAAGTGAATTATATTATTTCAAATATCTCTCAATACTCAACTTTTTCTTATAAATAGAGAACACTACTTATTATATCTTTAATGTATTTTAAGGACATTTTTCTAATTTATTCTATTGCTAAATAAATTAGAACAATAAAATTTTAGGAAAGACCATGATAAAAGTCTTTTATTTATCACATCCTAAGGAGATTTGGATTTGAGTTGTATATTTATGAAAATTAAGTTTATTTCTTAGGTGTTAACAGTCTTTAGTTTTTAGAAGCTAAATTGTGGTGTCCTATGATATAATCTTATTCCTTATTAAGTAACAGTAATTCTTAACATAAGTACCACCTTGCTGAAAATGCAAATTTCCAACCCCACCCCAGACCTACTGAAGCAGAAGCTCCAGGAGTGGAACCCAGTGACCTGCTTTAACAAGTCCACCAGGAGATTCTATTTACCCTTAAGTTGGAGAATTACTGCCGTAAAGTAAAAAAGAAAAAAATTAAGCTAAATTTATTTATTTATTTTATTTTATTTATTTATTTTTTTTGAGACAGAGTTTCGCTCTTGTTATCCAGGCTGGAGTGCAACGGCGCAATCTCGGCTCACCGCAACCTCCGCCTCCTGGGTTCAGGCAATTCTCCTGCCTCAGCCTCCGGAGTAGCTGGGATTACAGGCACGCGCCACCATGCCCAGCTAATTTTTTGCACCTTTAGTAGAGACGGGGTTTCACCATGTTGACCAGGATGGTCTCGATCTCTTGACCTCGTGATCCACCCGCCTCGGCCTCCCAAAGTGCTGGGATTACACGCTTGAGCCACCGCGCCTGGCCGCTAAATTTATTTAAATGCTATTATTTCAATACTGAGAATAACTAGAATTGACAAGCCTGTATGGAACGCTTAAATTTAAGCACGTAAGATTCAGAAATGTTTTTCTTCCAGAAATAGAACCAAAAAACACTAAATACGAATTACTTAAAAGCCAAAAGTTTCAATTGCAATGTTGTTTGATCACTAAATACCATATTTGCCACTATCCAGAGAAAAATCTTTCCAAAGACCTAAAAATATCGTTTCTCTAAACACTAACGGAACTTTACAATCAAATGTCTATAATCCTAAACAAATTTCACGAGGACTAAATAAAAATTATTACAGCCACATTTCATACCCATATCTGTGGCAGAGAACTTGTTTATAACGACAGGTTGACTTAATACCCAAATAGCACTTACTCCCAAATTCTCTATGTTCATGAGTGCAAGCAGCATCCTACCCAGATCTAAAACGCCATCAATACCTAGAAGCACACAGGTCTGTGTGCCTTTATATAGCAAATGCCTATGTCAGATTATGGAAAATAACAGGCACACACAAATGTTTATTGGATTAATTAATCTGGAAGGCAAGAGCTTCCATCTCCTTTTCTCCCTTATTAATTACCAAGAAATACTAATTTTTCCCTCCAAAATGACTACTTCTTACATCTCCACTCTGAAAGTCACCAACCTCACCTTGATCCTGTCCTCATTTCAGTTCTCCCTTCCTCTAGTTTTACTCTCCCTGCTTCCCATACTCTGGGGATCCAGTATCATATCAACGTTTAACTAAAATAGTGTATCAGGCCCAGCACAGTGATTCAAGCCTCTAATCCCTGCACTTTGGGGGTCTGAGGTGGGCAGATCACCTGAGGTCAGGAGTTGGAGACCAGCCTGAGCAATATGGGAAAACCCCATCTCTACGAAATACAAAAATTAGCAGGATGTTGTGGCGTATGCCTGTAAGCCAGCTACTTGGAGAGACTGAGACAGGAGAGTTGCTTAAACTGGGGGAGGGGGGGGAGGAGGAGGAGGAGGAGGAGGAGGAGGAGGAGGAGGAGGAGGAGGAGGAGGAGGAGGAGGAGGAGGCGGCGGCGGCGGCGGCGGCTACAGTGAGTCGAGATAGCACTACTTGCACTTCAGCTTGAGACCCTGTCTCATAAAATAAAATAAGTGTATCATGTCATTATTCTGCTCCAAAAACCTAAAACAGGTACCAAATACCTAAAATGTCATTTCACTTCTAACTTTCAAACTCTTTTCACTTACATTGCCTCATTTGATTCTCATAAATACCCAAACTAAAGTGTAAAGGTAATTTCATATTTTAACCATAAAAATTTCAAAGTGTCCTACTACTCCTGCAAAAAGGTAAGTAACTTGACACTGACACTGTAAATTTACAAAGGTTTACATGGATTGTGGACAATAACAAATGATAATACTGTCACAAGGGTAAAATATCAAACATCAGAGTCCTGGATAGGGCCAAGAGTTGAACAGGGAATGTCTTTTTGACACCCTCTCAGCAGACATAGGTAGCTAAACAGTAACACTGCCAATGTGGCATTGCTTCACCAGCACAAGGAGTTAAAGGACTGGAGAAATATTCTAAAGGCATGAAACTCCTATCAGTTTACCCAGAATATCCCATCAAGAACGAAAGAGCACTAAGAAAGCTGTTTCTTTTTTTTTTTTTTTTTTGAGACGGAGTTTCGCTCGTTACCCAGGCTGGAGTGCAATGGCGCGATCTCGGCTCACCGCAACCTCCGCCTCCTGGGCTCAGGCAATTCTCCTGCCTCAGCCTCCTAAGTAGCTGGGATTACAGGCACGCGCCACCATGCCCAGCTAGTTTTTTGTATTTTTAGTAGAGACGGGGTTTCACCATGTTGACCAGGATGGTATCGATCTCTCGACCTTGTGATCCACCCGCCTCGGCCTCCCAAAGTGCTGGGATTACAGGCTTGAGCCACCGCGCCCAGCCAAAGCTGTTTCTTTAACAGATGTATTCTATGTTTGAGAAAATATGAATACCAAACAAGTTACCTGAGCTCCCATTTGTGTTGCATTATCAAATAAAGACCTAAGATGGCAAACTTTTACCAAGAAATATGCAATTATAAATCACCATTTTAGGTTGTTAACTGTTCCGTACTGCCACAAGGAGAAAGCCAACTTCGATATCTTGCTAAACATTTTCATGTCAATATTCATGAAGGATAATAATCTGCAGTTTTCTTTTCCTGTAGCAACATAATACTGGCCTCATAAGAAAAAGTGAAAAGTGTTCCCACTTCCTTTATATTCTGTACAGTCTGTGTAGGATTGGTATTATTTATTCATTATATGACTGATTAGAATTCATCAATAAAGCCATATGGGACTGTAGTTTTCAACAACTAATTTGATTTTTTAAAATAGCTATGTGGCTATCTGGGTTTTCTATTCTTTCTGCATCAGTCTGGTAATTTGTGTCTTTCAATGAATTTGTCCACTTCATCTAAAATGTCAAATTTATTAGCTTAAAATTTCATAATATTCACTTAATCTGCTTAGTCTGCTAAGTCTACCATACAAAATACCAGAGATTGGGTGGCTTAAACAACAAAAATTTATAGAGGTTAAAAGCCCAAGATCAAGGATTTCTGGTGAGGGCTCTTCCTGTCTTACAGTCAGCTGCCTATTTGCTGGCTGACTTTTCACAGTGTCCTCACACAGCAAGCAGAGAGAACGTGCAGGCGAGTTCTCCAGTGTCTCTTCTTACAAGGGCTCTTATCCTCTTATGAGGACCCTACACACATTCATGATGTAATCTAAACATTATTCCCTAAAGGTCCCACCTCTAAATACCATCACATAGGGAGTTAGGGCTTCAACATATCAATTCTGGGATTCATTAATATGCTTCATGAATACTGACATGAAAATGTCACAAACATTGTCAATAATATCCTTTTAATGACTGTAGAATCATTCTTGATACTGGCAATTTGTGTCTTCTCTCTCTTTTTAAAGTCTACCTAGAGGTATTATTATTTTTATTGATCAAATAAATAACTACTGGTTTCATTAATTTTTCTCTACTGTTTTCTGTCACTGACTTTTACGTTCATCTTTACTTATTCTTTTCTATCTACTTATGGGGTTTAACTTGTTCTTTTATGCTAGTTATAGCTGGAAACTAGATGATTTTAGACATTTTTTCTTTTCTAATGTAACTATTTAAAGCTACAAATTTCTAAGAAGAGTTTTAGGTGAACCCCACAAATTTCATTAAGTTATGGTTTCATTTTATTTCTGTTCAAAATATCTGCTAATATCCCTTATGATAACTTCTTTGATCAACGGGTTGTTTTTTGTTTTTGTTTTTACTATTTGGGAAAATTTTCCCCAAAAAGATCTTACTTTTTTGATTTCTAACAGAATTCTAATGAAGTCAGGTAATTTACTCCATATGATTTTAATCCCTGTTTAAAGGATTAAACTTATTTTAGGACCCAGGATACAGCCTGCCTACTTTGGTGATATGGTTTGGCTCTGTGTCCCCAGCCAAATCTTATCTTGAATTGTAATCCCATAATCCCCATGTGTTGAGGAAGGGACCTGGTAGGAGGTGACTGGATCATGGAGGTGGTTCCCCTCCCTGCCCATGCTGTTCTGATGAGTGAGGGAGTTCTCACAAGATCTGATGGTTTTATGTTTGAGAGTTTCTCTTTCATACTCACCCTAACCTGCCACCACATTAAGATTTGCCTGCTTCCCCTTCTGTCATGACTGTTAAGTTTCCTGAGGCCTCACCAGCCATGTGAAACTGAGTCAATTAAACCTCTTTCCTTTATAAAGTATCCGCGTCTCAGCAGTTCTTTTTAGCAGTGTGAGCACAGACTAATACAGTAAGTTGGTACTGGTTAAGTGGGATACTGCTATAA